ATTTTTGATAATAAACTGCAGATGAAGAACTTGGGACATGTGAGTAATTGAGTGTACGAATCCAACTTCTTGTAGAAGTACGATATTTAAACAGATGGTATTTTCAATGAAATCTTCCTATAAAGTAGAATTATAGTCAATTTCCATAACTGGAACATCTTCTCTTTTTATAAAATTAATTTGTATCTAGTTTTCTACTCAAACTCTCTCCAATTTTCTTCTATGATCTAATTGTTGTAAACTAAACATCATCAATAAAATTCAAAGAAAAAGATTTTAATTATAAATTTTCATGATATCAGAGTCAAGTTTCCTAGACCTTTCAACTAGAATGCAAAAACATATTTACATCCATTAGAAAATAATTCTAAACAACAAGAGCCAAAGAAATATAAAAAACTTGAGTATACTAACTTAAATGCTGTCCTTACTGTTTCTGCAAGGAAAAAGCTTTCCATGTGATCCTCCCTCTTATGGAATTCTACATCTGAAATGTGACAATAACCACAAGGGCACCTGGCCCCATATTGCAAGCTAGCAACCATGTCTCTTCCAACATCAAGATATCTAAAGAGGAAAAGTTTATTCGTAAGTCAAAGAAAAGAAACAAGAATTATTAATGTTGCTGGAACCAAACAAAAAATATTTCTTGTGGTTTCTGATAATCATAAATAGCCCTAAATTCTAAGGACAGTTCTCTTTGCTGACCTAAACTTAAAGTTCTATTTCCACAAGGTCAGGCAGAAAAAAGAGGTCTGGGAATCCAGCAAGCAGCTAGGCATATGTGTTAAAGCAGCATTGAAACCAACCTCTGAAGACTGAGGCATGGAGATAGGAAGATGGTCGTTCAGTCTGTTCACGTGGATCTGGATCATTTTGGGGTGAGAAATAAAAGAGAACCCAGTTTGGAAGGTTCAGAAATGCTAGATTTGTGAGCTACTGGGAACACTATTTTAAGCACATCTGGGGCAATTTTCTGCTATGGAAAATATTGAAATGGATTCTACTGCTTATCTCAACCTCATGCTTCAATACTTTTTCAGTTGCATAATGGAAGAATAAATACAAATCTTGGAATGCCACCAAATCCAAGAAGATGTTTCAGGTGGCTGAAAAAATGTTCTTAAACGACTAGGATGCTTTAAGTTACTTAAAGCAATTGGACCCTTATTCAAAAAGTAAGGCTCAGAAGGTGTTTGAAGATCCTTGTAAGGCTCAGAAGGTGTTTGAAGATCCTTATAAGCAGCAAATAAGTAATTGCAAACACCCTCCAAGTTAATAAGCATTTCTATGTGTTGAGCAGAAAAGTTAAACTACAGGAACAAATGGTGCACAAGAAAAAGGGTACATCTCCACAACCTGGCATCTCTTGTAGCTTTGTAGAGCCAATATGTGCTCTCTATTAACTCCGGCCGCAGTGGGTAACTCTTTTGCCCATGCTGTAAAAGAAGTATCGAGTCTAGAAAGTTACAACCTGACAGTCCCATCCACTAGCGAAGGAAATAAAAAAAAAGGAAAAATAACTAAATAATACAAATACAAAAGAGAACTCAAATGAAGTAAGAAATTGTTCCCCAGCTATTTGAACAGTTCTGCAGAACAAACCCAAACTCAAATGCTGGCCAGGTGAAGAGTTCAAATTAGACTTCCAACCAAGTTGCCTAAAACAACTCTAATCAGATAAAGACTTCATTTATATAATCAAATGTCAAGCAGCATATATTGATAAATAGGCTTCAACCAGATGCATTATCCAATGAATAAGACATTCGCGCAGCTTGTGGAAAAGCAAGATTAATTAGAAAGAAATAATCAGGAATATCTCACAGTTAAGACATCGAGTGAAAATACCTGAACACTTAGTGTAGCAAGATTAAAACCTTCGGGAGTAAAACCATATCTTTTCCAGACACTAAAGAAGGCAGCATGTGTTCGAATAGCAGGATCAACATCCCCCAGCCAAAACCTTCCAAAAATTTATTTTTTAAGAGAATATAATAATTGAAAAATGAAATACAAAAAGGTTACGCAGGTCAAACTTATTATGATTAGATAACAAATAAAGGAAAAATTAAATTTATGTGCATCGCAAGTATATATAAACACAACCTGAAGGCCAGGCCAAAATGCCTGTAAGCTGTTGAATAATGGCCAAACAAGAGCAGCAGAATCCATATTGACCTCTACATACCTGCAAAAATAATTAAAAGAAAAGAGCAAAACTAATCATTAACATTTAATATTACAAACAAGAGGGTGAAAGGAGCAAAATGAACCATCTGGATGGAACAACAGCAGGACAATTCATATTTATGTAGCAAGGCAAAACAGCAGCAAGCTTTTACCAGGGATCATTGTGAAGATAGTGCATGGCTGCCCCATATGCTTCTTGGAAAATGAATAAATATTCTTCGTCTCCAAACAACAAATATGCCTGAAATAATGTCATGATTGATGAACAAGTAAGTGGAAATAAACAAAGTTTAAAATGCAAGAAAGGTTTACTTCAAATTTCACTCAAATCCTATTGATACTCCTGGGCCATTTTCTGGTCCATGTTGAAATTATTGATGATTGTTTGAACATGCATCTTTGATTACTGACCATTTACATTATTTTTTCCTTATCTTCTGATCTGAAAAGCCTTTAAGAAAATCTAGGGGGACAGAAAAGGTGGAATCAGACGAATCACAGTTTTAGATGAGCAAAACAAAAGAAACTCATAATAGTTATGTTGGTTCACACCATATAATTACAGATAATAACTCTAAAGGTCTGTGGTGGAGACAGAAGCATCAGCAAACTAAAAGACAGTAGTTATGAATCTAAAATGACAATACCATGAGCAACCCATCTCACCACTAAAGTGGACAAGTTACTTCAGAGCAAAACAGGGCTCTTGATTGAAGTGTATGATGTTCATTATGTGAAGAACTGAATAATATTGAAATTTAATGCAAAAATCAACAAGTACCTTTGTGATATAGTGTGCATAAATTAGCTCGTCTTTCCTGTGCAAATTTAGCTTTCAGAGATTTTAAGAAAGGACAATAAAAGACTCAAAGACTTGGCGTCTTTTATAATCAACCAAAGTTGGAGAACTTAATTTAGAATTAAAATAAGGCTAATGACACTAACTTTCTCCATGTGGCTTGAAAGCCGACCATATTTTAAAACAAAATCATTCTCCATATTTTTAAATGTTTTGGAAATTCAAAATTAACTCAGACCAGGTAAGCTGATGAAGAAAAGAAAGACTCTGGTGCTGGGTAAAATGTATGAAGATTCTTGAGATTTGACCACAACTACAATTAAGTCTTTCTTTTTTAAGAATAAAAATCTAGCCCATTTGTGATCTCACCCTAACGAAAATTTTGAAAACACTAAAATGCTAATCTCACCCTGATGAAAATTTTTAAAAGACTAAAATGCTAATCTCACCCTAATAAAAAATTTTAAAAGACTAAAATGCCAACTTTTTCTCGTCACACTACATACCTGTTCACACCATACTTTTTCTTGTACTCTCATCATTACTTCTCCCTCACCATCTGAACTGAGACCTCAGTCCCTTCTCTGTGTTTATGCAAGGGTGAATTGTTTATTGCATTGCAGCTTTTTGTTACTTTACAGTTACATGATATGTTATATAACACATTTAACCATGTCTTAAAATCTGTTAAGAGGCCGAAATGAATTGACGATGGTGCTTATTATATAAGGATACATTTGTAATTTCTTAAAAGCAAACAATCCAGTCCTAATTATACCACAATGCGATGATTTCAGGACCAAGATCTTGTCAATTGATGGTTAACAACAAAATCGTCTTCTAACAAAGGGTTAACATCCTTATTTTTATTGCGAGAGCAACCTATTTTTGTGAAAATAGATTACAACTCATCAAAGGGAGTTGATACCTTGAATCTCGTTAGAGAAACCTCCAATCTCGTAGTTTAAAATAATATTATGATTTACTTTTATTAACAACAAACATACTCCTTTATATAGAGATTATAATTCTTATTTAAAAATTTCAATCTCATTAGAAATCTAAATCTAATTAGAAATACTTTATTAAAATATTAAAAATCTTATACTATTTAAGAATCTAATACTAATAGAAAATTATATATAATTTAGAAATTTAATATTAATTATAATTCTAACTATTTCGGAATGTAATACTAATTAGAATTTCAATTATTTAAAAATCTAATACTAATTACGTTTCCATATGTAATTGAACTTCACTATCCTATTTAGTCATTGTTTTGCCTTCCATATTTATGCCCTACAAATGCGTTCATAACACACAACCTCAAAGCCCCATTAATCATGGACCTCTCATTGACATCCATCCCTAAACCTAGAAATAAATGTTATGCAATGACCACATCAATAACAAATTGAGGTTTTCCCTCACTAAAATTAAATCGCTATGTTTCTAGGAGACATCAGTTTACTAACCTTCAGGAGATACTCGTAGAAGGAGTCAATACTTGTTCCTATTCCAGCATCCTGCAGAGCAGCAATATAAATGTAACTGCACCAGAGGCAGACTATCGCAAAGGAACAAACAAGTGAATTAATCAGACCTGCATAATTTACTCTAAATGGTAGCAGCCATTCACCTAGAAAGTAACAACAGGAATGATTCAAGAAACACCAGTGGCATATATGAATAATATATTCACCACTTTTCGAAAGATCCCCTTCCATTTTTCTCTTATCAGTTCAACATAGTGCGAACACCATAAGATGCAGAAAAGAAATGATCAGACATCAGTAGCTTCAGATAGTCAGCATCAATCCAGAAAACCGACATAGTGTTTACTAAAATAGAAGGAAAAGCAGTTTCTGGTTTTCCAGACATTAGAACACTCCTTACAAGACAATACTCACACAACAATACAAGACTTATTCAAATCACACTGCAAGATAAAAAAGCCACAAGGGTATTGGCAGAAAAACTATAGGCAGTGGGACTTCTAACCATAAACTTAGGACACTACTAGTTATTGATTGTAGACTTCATTTTTCTTCTTTAATACACCTTGGCGAAGGATATTATCTTCATACTTCTAGGACCCTCCCCATCACTCCTGTCCTCCAAATTGTGCCTGTCCTCAAGTGCAAAATTTGGATATCAAAGAGCCATACAATCAGCTAGAGGAGAGTCCTTCCCAATGAGAAGTTCATGGTGGCTGTTGCGAATGCAGGATTCCAATTAAGGTTGTAGGTGGAGGGTATTTGGCCAGTGCTCGAAAGGGAAGGGCTGTATAGTTCTGACCATGTAACATCTTTCGATACAAAAGATGGAAAATTGGGGGTAGTTTGGAATCAACAGTCAAGTCAAGCAGGCAAGCAACTGCCCCAATACCATTGAGAAAGGGAAAAGGACCATATAAATGGAGGGCTAACGTCTGAGAATTCTTGCTGCCAAATAAATTTAGCAATATGGTTATAATTCCAGAAGAATCGAATCATCCACATCAAAAATGATCCGTAACGTTGAGAATATACTAGTGTCTCATGCACTATTGAGCTTGAAGTAGACGGCCTCTTGTTTCCTGTAAGATCATATCAAAACTCTCAAGCTTACGATCCATAGCTTCAACTCTAGATAAGCTAGGACAGTAAAAAGGAACTCGGGGAGTCCAATACCCATAGACTACTTAAAAGCGAGTGGCCATAAGAAAGGAATTGAAATCAGTTTTGTCAGAATGTTCGGCCCAGAGAATCCAATCTACCTATTCTTTAGGATGATTTCTTGTAAAACAACAAAAGTACATTTCTACAATCTGATTAACCACCTCAGTTTGACCATCCATTTAAGAGTTAAATGTTGAATCCAACAAACAAGTCTAGTTCCAAGCAACCAATATCTGACATTTCGTATTCAAATGGTTGAATAAGAAATTACCATTAAAAGGCATCTAAAGAGCCGCCTAATAATTAAATAATTACAAGAGATCAGAGACCAAAAACTCTACAATCTATGTCATCAAGAATAGGATGCCGTATTCAAAATGTTTCTAAAATCATGTTTCTCCTAAATGTGCAAATAACAGGATGCTTAAGTAAGATAACATGACTAGAATACTTCGTAAGAAGATAGATTAACTTCTTATCAAAACAAACGCATTAGGTAGCATCATAGTTACCCTGATCACTAAACACTCATGAAATCAACACACTGAGTTTTTTGAGCTGGTCTGTACAGCTTCGCATGGGTTCATTTGGTTCTTAATCTGAATCTCCAAGACTCCATACCCATAACTAAAAACAAATTGTGGCGAGTTGGTACAATATGACTCTAAAGATAGTGAAAGAAAGAACGTACAAAAAGAGTGAAATATTTACATTTTAACAAACTTTCTCCCGAATTTGATATTAGTTACAGGTAAAGTGGCAGGTACCCAAGCGAAGAGCAAGAGTTCATCAGACATTGTTTAAAGTATGTTAATTAGTTCCTTCTGAAACTTTTAATATATTAACTCACTTTTCTAGGAATTTATAACATGAGTTTTGATTTTTTTGTTATAACTATAAAAAGGATTTGAATTCCAGATCTTTCTCATAGAAAAAGAATAAGAGCCAATAAAGCAAAATATATTACTAAACTATTACTTGTGATCCAAATAATGAACGTAATAAATGGTTTACTAAAAGTTCAAATCAATAATGTAGACCCACCCTCATTCGAACCTAAATTTAATATCTACCGTATTTAGTACCCATATACCATACCACGAACCAGATGTACTGTGTTTAAGGTGAAAATAGATAGGATTTTCATGAGCCCTTCCTCCCCAAATTTAATTACTATTATTGTTCTTATATTCATAGTGCCTCAAAAAATTATGCTTTGTACAGTTGATTGGAGTAGAAGTAATTCAAAACTTGTCTGTTCAGAACCTTTTTAAAAAAAAAAAAGTAATTCAAAACTTACAAGGCAATGACACTCGAATCACATTAAAAGTTGATGTTACCTTTTGTGTCCATTCACCTGTGAACACATTGATGTGAGCACCAACCAAATTGAGCTTTGAACGCCGTGCCCATAGTCCCCTCACAGCATTTTTAGTGACTTGCTCAAAAACTACATTACCATGCAGATGGCACAAAAAATATGCATGTATCAACAATGAGTAAATAACTATGTTTTCATCATCTAGGCTAAAGAAAAGAAATAGAAACAAATGACAAATAGGAGAAACCAATCATCCGAAAGGCATATAAAATATAAATCAATCTATCCAAGAACAAGGACATGGGGATTCCCTTTCCATCAAAACATCCTCAGTACTTTTATTATTCAGAATGAGGGAAAATAGCAAGATATTATGGAGAGGGACAACTTTTGCCAGTATTTTTGGGTGATTTGGTTGGAAAGGAACACCAGGATCTGCAAGGATAAAGTGTACTCGTTTTTAGTTCTTTGCAATAAAATTTCATTTTTGGCTTCTCTTCCGGGTAAGGCACATGGACACTTCCAAGGATTACTCTATCTTTAGTTCACAAGCATTAAATAAGATTCCTTGTCTAAGGGGTGCTAGACTATCTCCACTTTCTTTTATTTTCTTTTAATCTGCGAGGATATCTAATCCACCACTGTTTTTGTGTTCTCTCTTCTTATTTTAATAATATTTCTTCTTCTACAAAAGAAAGCTTCTCGCATTCAAAAACAATCTAAAATACAGACAAAGGGATTTAGGTTAAGGTTTTTTCTGCTTCCATAGAGACCCATCCCTAACCAAGCAACCAACCAGGCAGCAAATGAGCTAAAAACCACCCAATAAAGGAAAGAGCTAGATTACCATGACAGTTTTTTTCTGAAAAACAATGCAAAAGAAGGTGATTAATGGATTTGGCAACTAAATTGTAAACATAATAATGATTCATAAAATTCCTTTGTGCTACTTTTCAAAGGTCAAGATCCTTTCTTGTGAAGCCTCCCAAGCAAAGAAGCTAACTTTGTTGCTGCTTCTTCTCTTTTCCAAATAGCTTTCCAACAAAAGCTTAAACCATAGCCTTATAACAGACTTGACACCAGGCATACCACTTTATCATAGAGCCCGCGCTACTTTACCATTCTCCATCCACCCATAAAGATACACCTTCTGATGTTTGAGTAAAGCCTACCAATGGAACTCTCACCTCTTTCCCCCCCCAACCAAAATCATTTTCATTTCAGTTCCACAGAAAAAAAAAAAGAACTATTCACATCTTAGATAAAAGGAAAAAGACAACAATCAAGATATCATCCAACTGTTCTCTGCTATACAACTTCCCTAGAGAGTTTTTATTAGCAGCTACAGCAAAACCATAGGGAATTTCTAGCCTCAAGGCGACCCATAGCACGCATCATAATAAAAAACTAGTCTCTCCATATTAACTGCCTGAAAGGAGATCAAAGGAGAGAATCTGTTTCAAAATCCTGCACAATCTAGGTCTCTTTTCATTCCTATCCATGATGGTCCATAACAAATTTCACTATCACCACCCTTCTCCATAGTTTTGGTCTTTCTAAATCAAGAATCTCTAACCACTTACCAGATATAGCTTCACGGAAACGTGAGAGATTCACGTCCCAAAACCCCTTTCTCTACAGGTTGATTTCCATCAACCACCTGACAAGGTAATTCTTCAACTCATTTACAACATTTGCAAAAAAAAATATCTCCTTAAAAATCTTCCAACCGCTTGTCCACATTACTAAAAAAAATGATCAAGTATACTCAAGGGTAGAGAAAAAAAAAATGATCAATCTTCCTCCATTGGAGCAGTGATGTTTTTCTCCTATTGAACCAACTTATTTTCAAATTTCTCAAAGATTGGATCTACAAGCTACTCTCTACTTCATGTCTCTATTTTCAAACTCTAGTAGTGTTGTTAAATGCTTGGAAGAGAACCCAAAGGCTGAACACAAAGTTCTAGATTAGGTCAGCACTGCTGCCAAAGGAAACCACAGATAGATATCCTTTCAGCTGTCTAGAAGCTCCCGACAAATACATAGTACAAAGGGGAAAGGTAATAGAACTTACTAGGATCATTTGTCAGACGGCTAAGCACTCCGAATTCCAATGTCAAGGTCCCACCTCCAGCAGTTGATGTTATCTAAAAAAACCAGCGATGGAAGTTTAAAACTGTATATTCAGGTTAGAAGTAAAAATACAGTAACCAAATAAAGATAAGGCAAGAATAACTACACTAATTTCTCAAATTATATGTTATACATTCTGTCTCAATGAATTCGTCCTTGAAAAATTTTATGCAGTGATTATGTTCATGAAACGAATTATTTTTTCATCAAGACTGATGCTAGAGTACAATAATATGGTCAAGAAGAAATTTAGTTTTATAGATTATCTTCAAGGATAACTAGCTGATTGCTGCGTACCAACAAATTTTTAAAGCAAGCGAAAAAAAATAGAGGCTTTACCTTGCTTTCATGGTCATCAACTCCATGCATCAGATTGACTGATCCAAAAGGAATTCCTGAAACATTCAGCTAGAGACAATAAAGAAAGTGTGCAAAACTGAAATGCTGGTATCCACTAGACGTAAACCACTTGACCTTAGATATATGAAGCACAATTTTTTTTTGAAAGAAAATAAAAGAAATATTATTCACGAAGATATCAAGGGGGTATCACCCAAGCACAGCTATTAGTTACAAGTCAATTAAGTGGTTCATGACTATCCCAAGATCCTACCAATCATTGATGTCTTGACCTAACAAAATAGAACAAAAAGTATGTATCCATTTATCTCTAACATGTGTAAAGCTCATTGTCCTCAAAGCTTCTCGCATTCCTTTCCTTCCACGCAACCCAAAAAATAGTAAATGGAATAAGAAATAAATGTCTATTCTTTTTACAAAAACCCGCCCAGGCCCACAATTCACTACTCACATTCTCAGTCATAACCCAATTCAGCCCCAATAACCCTAAAACAGAAATCCATAAGCTATAAGTCTTCGGGCACCGCAACAGTAAGTGATTACAAGTTTTCTCATCCGATTTGCACAAATAATATCTGTTAAACATAGTGATTCCCCTTCTTTTAAGCATATTAATAGTAAAAATGCATTCTTTCGCAGCTTCCCATGTAAAAAAAGCCACTCTAGGCGGAGCTCTACCCTTCCAGATCTGTTTAAAGGGGGCACCATCGCTAATACTGCAACTGTCCCTCTTGCACAAGACCGTGTACATAGACTTCACAGAAAAGCCTTTCTTCTCATCTGGTTTCCACACTCTCATATCTCTGGTATCATTCAGTTTTTTGCTGTCAAGTCACCGTAACAGATTGCAAAACTCATCAATTTCCCAATCCTGCAAATTTCTTACAAGCTTCACATTCCAGATCCACCCCTCCCCCACCTTAACATAATTATCCCTCACCTTGACCTCTTTATCACAAGCAATTTCATCAATTCTAGGATAGCAATCTTTAAGCTTATAACAGCCCACCCATTCATCATGCCAGAAATTGATATCCCCCCCATTCCCCAGCTGCCACCTGACACAATCCATAAAGGAAACACTGTCATCACAAATTTTCTTCCAAATGCTCAAACCTTGCGATCTGAATCTTCCCCTCCTACCTCTCTCCTCCCAATTGCCCCATCTCACCCTCACCAGCTCCCTCCACAGCCTCCCCTCTTCAACAAGCGACCTCCATAACAATTTCCTTTGAAAGGCGCGGTTTAACTCCCTAATAGACCTCAAACCTAGCCCCCCATCGTAAACTGGTTTCTTCATCTCCTCCCACCTAAGTAGATGGTATTTTCTACTTCCCTCATCATCACCCCAAAAAATTTACGTTTGATTTTTTCAAGCTTATTAGCAATGCTGACTGGGATGGTTAAAATAGATAGATAGTAAATGGGTAAGTTAATCAACGTGCTTTTTATTAAAGTAAGTCTTCCTCCTTTCGAAAGAAAATTTTTCTTCCACCCCGCCAATCTTTTATCAAACAACTCCACAATAGACTCCCACATTTTCATATCTTTGAATTTGGCCCCA